GAGGATCTGCAGAGAAGAATGGGAGAAACTCCCCAAATACAGGTGTGCCAAGCTTGTAGCGTCATACCCAAGAAGACTCAAGGCTGTAAACGCTGCCAAAGGTGCTTCAACAAAGTACTGAGTAAAGGGTCTGAATACTTATGTAAATGTGATATTTCCGTTTTTTTTTTTTTATAATACATTTGCAAAAATCTGTTTTTGCTTTGTCATTATGGGGTTTTTGTGTGTAGATTGAAGAGAGAAAAAACCCAATTTAATCTATTTTAGAATAAGGCTGTAAAGTAACAAAATGCGGAAAAGGTCAAGGGGTCTGAATACTTTCCGAATGCACTGTACATGCAGTATAATATAATACAATAGCCACATACTGTACAATCCGATATTCAGATCAGCGTGGACTGCACCACCATGCGTGAAGGGCAGGACCCATTCTATCACCATCATGTCACCATGCCCCCAGCCTAACCCAGCCACTAGTACTTACTGGGACACATTTCGTACAGTACAAATACATTATAATAATACAATACTTTTTAACAATACTGTGAGTAGCCTATTTGGGAAATGGTCACAGATGTAAAATACACAATATTTATTTTATAAGACTAGTGGGAATGAACAAGATGAACACACTTAACTGGTGGGGGTTTTCGGCGGTAAGTCCCACAACAAGACATCTGGTCTAGATGTTTGGTCGTCAACATTGGGATTTCCCTCAAAGATAAATAGAATAGTAGCCGTTGGGGGGGGCGGGTCCTGCGCCAAACCCAGAGTTCTGATTAGGCTTGGTTTTGATGGGGAATTTGGATATTTAAATTGTAGGATAATTTCTGACCAGAATGTCAATACATTAGCAGGCCTATTTGAGACAGACACCTTTTTATAGATCCAGTTTGAAGATCAGAACAGCATGCATTTATGCAGCATTAAAGATGTCTACCTTTGTAACGTAAGTACAGATTTTTTTTTACACCTATAAAAACTTGCTTAATTATGTAGATTCCATTTTTATGAATGTGTTTCTTTGTGTAATACTCTCTCCACTGATCCAATTGGTCGTCTCACTTTTGTTCTCTTAATAGCGTTAAAACTTGCTCCTATCAACAGTTCTACTCTACACCATTATACAATATGTCACGGATGGTGATATCATCATTTGAATAGAGCCCAAGCAACACAGATTTGCTGTTTGCTATAACGTCATACAACGGTAATGTACATGGCATGAACCTGTAAGAGTGGAAAACCTTTGACCTGTAACCAAACACAGCCCAATCAGCTGTGACTTTGACCTGTAACCAAACACAGCCCAATCAGCTGTGACTTTGACCTGTAACCAAACACAGCCCAATCAGCTGTGACTTTGACCTGTAACCAAACACAGCCCAATCAGCTGTGACTATGACCTGTAACCAAACACAGCCCAATCAGCTGTGACTTTGACCTGTAACCAAACACAGCCCAATCAGCTGTGACTTTGACCTGTAACCAAACACAGCCCAATCAGCTGTGACTTTGACCTGTAACCAAACACAGCCCAATCAGCTGTGACTTTGACCTGTAACCAAACACAGCCCAATCAGCTGTGACTTTGACCTGTAACCAAACACAGCCCAATCAGCTGTGACTTTGACCTGTAACCAAACACAGCCCAGTCAGCTGTGACTTTGACCTGTAACCAAACACAGCCCAATCAGCTGTGACTTTGACCTGTAACCAAACACAGCCCAATCAGCTGTGACTATGACCTGTAACCAAACACAGCCCAATCAGCTGTGACTTTGACCTGTAACCAAACACAGCCCAATCAGCTGTGACTTTGACCTGTAACCAAACACAGCCCAATCAGCTGTGACTTTGACCTGTAACCAAACACAGCCCAATCAGCTGTGACTTTGACCTGTAACCAAACACAGCCCAATCAGCTGTGACTTTGACCTGTAACCAAACACAGCCCAATCAGCTGTGACTTTGACCTGTAACCAAACACAGCCCAATCAGCTGTGACTTTGACCTGTAACCAAACACAGCCCAGTCAGCTGTGACTTTGACCTGTAACCAAACACAGCCCAATCAGCTGTGACTTTGACCTGTAACCAAACACAGCCCAATCAGCTGTGACTTTGACCTGTAACCAAACACAGCCCAATCAGCTGTGACTTTGACCTGTAACCAAACACAGCCCAATCAGCTGTGACTTTGACCTGTAACCAAACACAGCCCAATCAGCTGTGACTTTGACCTGTAACCAAACACAGCCCAATCAGCTGTGACTTTGACCTGTAACCAAACCAGCCCAATCAGCTGTGACTTGACCTGTAACCAAACACAGCATCGCGTGACTTAATGTGAACAGGAGAAGGAAAGAGCAGAGCTCATAGCATGGAGGAGAGACAGCAGAGGTTAATGAGGTAAGGTGGACGTTGACGGGTTTAGCTGATTCTTGCTCATCTCTAGTACTTAGGTAGTAGCACGCAGGAGAGACGACGAGACGGAGTGAGGTACTGATGACGAGAGATGAAGAGAGGAGAGAGAGAGAGAGATGGCAAATGGCGAGAGGAGGAGATCCTATGTGGTCTATAGCAGTGATAGATTGGCTTTTATTGAAGCGAGAGAGAGGAGAGAGAGTATCTAGAGAGAGCAGTAGATTAGCAGAGCACGAAAAGAATGGCGATAAAAAAGAAAAGTGTAAGTTAATCAGATATAGTCTTAATATATATGATGTAGTAATAGATACATATATTGATAGATTTATAAGAAGTATAATATATATAATTATTATGTATATATAATTATTATATTCATATATGAGTATTCTCTATCATTTAATATGTTAGTCTCTATATTATGTTCTATATCTCTCTATATATATAATATATATAGTATTCTCATATATTGATACTCTTATATATCTGTATATTCTATTATCATGAGAATATATGTATAGATATGAATTAGAGTTAGTCTTTATAACTATTCTCTGTTATATCATATCTTAATGTCATATCCTATATCTCTATCTTTCTGTACTTCTCACTAATATCGAGCTCCATATTACATACCCTCTTATGCTCATCTAAGATAAATCCGAGTTCGTAGTCAACTATTACTATAGACTATGAGTCTAAACGGTCACGTACATATAAGTATCCATCTGATCTCTATGGAGTAATACATAATATATATATGTCTATTAGGTACTTTAGACATATAACTAATCTATAGCTTATATTATGCATCTAATATGATATAATACTATCTCATGTATATATATATATATCAATATTATATGTCATCATATATATTATATCTTATATTATATTATTATGATTTCATCTTATCTTATTATACTATATATGTATAGTATCTATATATATCTTATATATATATGTGTGTATATATAATCCATATCATATAATCTAATGGTCCGGTAGTATAAGTAATATATGATATAATACTTATATATATAATCTATATATATCATCTTCTTATCTATCTTGATATTCTCTATCTCTCATATATCTATATTCTTACTATATTCTCGTCTCTAGTACTACTTATCTCATATCTATATCTGCTCTCTGCATTATCTTATGCTATGTATGTCTAGCATAGATCATGTCTCCGTCTCTCTCATCTCTATTCTATCTCTCTTCTCTCTCTTCTCTCTCTCTATCTTCCTCTCTCTCTGTCTCTCTCTCTCTGTCTTCTCTCTTCCTCTATACTCTCTCTCTCTCTCTATATCTCTATTCTCTTCTTCTCCTCTTGCTATCTCTGTTCTCTATTCCTCTATGTCTCTCTCTCTCTCTCTCTCTCTTGCCTCTCTCTCTGTCTCTCTCTCTCTGCTGTCTCTCTCATCTATTGTGTTTTCCTCTCTCTCTCTACTCTTGTCTCTCTTTCGTCTCTATGTCTCTCTACTCTCTGTCTCTATATCTCTGTCTCTCTCTTTTCTCTCTTCTGTCTCTCTCTCTATCTCTCTCTCTCTCTCTCTCTCTCTCTCTCTCTCTCTCTCTCTCTCTCTGTCTCTCTCTGTCTCTCTCTCTCTCCCTCTCTCTCCCTCTCTCTCTTTCACGAGTCATTAGATTGCTGTTCTGTTTAGGGCCCTGGGGGACTTGTTTTTTGTATTGTGGAGGGTTTTATGTTTAATCTGAAATTCCTTTTTTTCTTCTGGAGTAGACCTGGGTGACAAAAATCAACACATTTTCTTTGCGATAATGATCAGCTATGTTATTTTGGGGGGAGGTGCTAATAACTGGGCGATATGGACAGAAAGTCATATCGTGATAAATGTAACTATTTTGCTCGATAACAACAAATACAACAATCAAATAAATGTTTTAATGGACAGTTACAATTATTTTTTGAGTGCCAAGTAAGACAACTGAGATGGTACCCTTACTACCCTATGATTAAAAAAGTAAGGTATTTCATCTAACATATCCAGGAAATGATTGATATTTTGATGTGCAACCTGTCAAAATAGGATACAGAATTATCAGATTTATTTTAGGCTCTTCAGAGAATCTGACGCCATCTTTGTGCGCATTGGCCTATAGACTATACTATTCACCACCTGGCCTGAGGAGGCGGGAACTCGAAACCCTTAGCTAGATTGCTAACTCTAAAGATGATATTGTTGCTAGATAGCCATGTAGGCCAATTGATTAATCTATCAGTAAATGTAGGCTAATGTCCTACAGAAACGTTCCAGCTCTAGGCCAAGGCTTCGCTCGGCTAAGCTCCGCGGGCGCATCAAAACCATACTAACTACAGCCTCCTTCAGTTGTAAAGTGGTGCCATGCAGTGTATTCATGGATGCCAGAAAGAGTATGACATTGTTGCCGCCCTTAGCACTGAATGCAAGGGAAGCCAGCGAGCATTTGGCCTCCCTTAATAAAAAATAAAAAATGAATAGCCAATCAGCGTTGCGCTAAACTGAGTGAGCTCAGCTGTGATTGGTCCTCGCACACCAAAAAAAAAAGAGCTCAGCTGTGATTGGTCCTCGCACACCAAAGCAAAAAGAGCTCAGCTGTGAATGGTCCTCGCACACCAAAGCAAAAAGCGTCAAGGGAAGCCAGTTTGGATTTTGGCTTCAGACCAATCACATCACAAGCCAAACGTCATTATTGACAGATAAAAAATGTGAATTGTTGCATCTCATTGTGTTGTTGTCCTCCGGTGGCTAGCTAGCTAGCTAAAACCGGCCTTTTCCTAAATCAGCCATGGTTGGAGATCGGTATTTTGTGGTTTTACTTAACTCTCCGTACAGGCCAGTGATGTTAAAGGCGGTTCTGATCCAACCATAAATTCATACATTGTGCCCCTGGCCTGAGAGGATGGAAGTTCAACATGTAGCTAGATGTAGTATGCTAATGTTAACCAGCTGTTCTAGTGTATCATTGCCCATGAAAGGAAGTTAGGCTAGCGAGCAAGTATTTTAGCCAGGTAGCCGAGGACAACAAAAACTACAAGTACCTGTATGTACTGTATGACAGAGTGATAGACCGTTTAGGCACAATGAAAGAGGAGGATGGCATTGGCGTTTCTCTACAAGTAGGGTGAGTCAACATGTTTTTTATACTTGCACGCACACACGTGCACACACACACACACACACACACACACACACACACATACACAGAAATCAGTCCCATGGACAGCCACATCATATTTAGCTTACATGGATTGGACTAAATCGTTTTTGGTATCTTTTAGTTGTCACTGTATTAGACAAAGCAGAGGTAATTGAAGTTGAAATGGTGCTGGAATAGTGGAGGCAGCTCCTGTTTTCTTTGCGACTTGCGGTAACTCTCCGTGGTTGTAAATCAATAGTTGTTTAGTAGTCTGAAAATATGGGAAACATCAACTTGATTGACCATGCTGTAGGTCACGTAACTGTCTGTTACATGCAATATGCTTTGTGGACTTCACCAGACAGATGATGCTCTTTGGTTTTGTAATGAAACAAAGGTGTGGTTGAATTTATTCTGCCGCTGTGTCTTCTTATTGTCTCGGCCTTAGGCCTATATATCACATTGGCAAGCAATGGGGGCTGCTGAGGGGAGGATGGCTCCTAATAATGTCTGGAATGGCGCAAATGGAATGGCATCAACTTCAAGGAAACCATGTGTTTGATGTATTTGATACCATTCCACTAATTCCACTCCAGCCATTACCACGAGCCCGTCCTCCCCAATTAAGGTGCCACCAGCCTCCTGTGATGTCAAGGCATATGAACTAACAGGTTATAGAGCAAACAACGCAATTATCACAACACGTGCTGTTTATATTCAGAACCACATTCCTGTGAAGATTAGAGAGGATCTCATGTTAAATACTGTTGAAGTAATATGGCTACAGGTTCATCTGCCTCACCTAAAGCCCATTCTGGTGGGAAGCTGCTATAGACCACCAAGCGCTAACAGTCAGTATCTGGATAACATGTGTGAAATGCTTGATAATGTATGTGATATCAATAGAGAGGTATACTTTCTGGGTGATTTTAAATATTGACTGGCTTTCATCAGGCTGCCCACTCAAGAGAAAGCTTCAAACTGTAACCAGTGCCTGCAACCTGGTTCAGGTTATCAGTCAACCTACCAGGGTAGTTAAAAACAGTACATGAATTAAATAATCAACATGTATTGATCATATCTTTACTAATGCTGCAGAGATTTGTTTGAAAGCAGTATCCAAATCCATCGGATGTAGTGATCACAATATAGTAGCCATATCTAGGAAAACCAAAGTTCCAAAGGCTGGGCCTAATATAGTGTATAAGAGGTCATACAATACGTTTTGTAGTGATTCCTATGTTGTTGATGTAAAGAATATATGTTGGTCCGTGGTGTGTAATGAGGAGAAAACAGACACTGCACTTGACACATTTATGAAATTGCTTATTCCAGTTACTAATAAGCATGCACCCATTAAGAAAATGACTCTAAAAACTGTTAAATCCCCGTGGATTGATGAGGAATTGAAAAATGATATGGTTTAGAGGGATGAGGCTAAAAGAATGGCAAATAAGTCTGGCTGCACAACCGATTAGAAAACGCATCGCAAATTGAGAAATCATGTGACTAAACTGAATAAAAAGAAGAAACAACACTATGAAACAAAGAATAATTACAAAAAGAACGATAGTAAAAAGCTTTGGAGCACCTTAAATGACATTTTGGGCAAAAAGGCAAACTCAGCTCCATCATTCATTGAATCAGATAGCTCATTCATCACTAAACCAACTGATATTGCCAACTACTTTAATGATTTTTTCATTGGCAAGATTAGCAAACTTAGGCATGACATGCCAGCAACAATTGCTGACACTACACATCCAAGTATATTTGACCAAATTATGAAAGACAAGCATTGTAATTTTAAATTCTGTAAAGTGAGTGTGGAAGAGGTGAAAAAAGTATTGTTGTCTATCAACAATGACAAGCCACTGGGGTCTGACAACTTGGATGGAATATTACTGAGGATAATAGCAGACGATAT